TTTGTACTGGAAAAGAAGTCACTTTTCTAGGACTTCACCATCATATTTGACTCTCCACGACAGTGCGTTAGAGTTCATTAGGAGCGCCGACTTGGCTAGGCTCGTTGCAGCTTCCTCATACACTCGCAAAGGGTCATTGGTCGACCGCGCCTCTAGTATCGCTGCATCCAGTGGAAAATATAGATGACCCAGCCGCTGTCTATATAGCTTTTCTTCAGACCTTGACGAGATTTTATGGTATTCATCAAAACAGCTTTACAGATCTTAATTTTCTATTCATCCCACCTGTCAGCCAATCTTCCGGACTATAAGATATACAGAAGTCGAGACTAAATCAGTTTTGTCAACTTGAAGATGTGCAATTTCTACGGCCGCAATAATTTTGATGTTGCGGTTGCGTGTCCACATTCAGGAAGAGGATAATCTCACCTCTGCTTACCTAATACGAACAAAGTGACCTGGCGCCTTAATCCTGATACTTATCAAATGCGGTCAGCTGCTGTGTCAAGTATCGACAGATGCACATCCTTTATCTATTTAATGTGTATGGAGCTCACATATCACCGGTTTAGCCGTAAACTAGGCGATCCGTTGCCGGAAAAATTGTTAAAAAACGTGTACGCTGCCGCATAAAAAGCATGTATGGACCGTCTTCCTCAGAAGCTCCACGTCATCTTCAACAACACAGCTTAGCTGCACCCGACAGAGAGGCCGTCTCAGCATCAAAGTACCATGTCTACCTAGTGGAGAGACAAAAAAACGATCAAGGTGTGATACCAATGTGCATTTGAATCCCCCCTGATAAACATGGGTCTTTGTGTCTCATTAGGATCGGTTGAAGCCTCTCGAAAACGTCTTTCAGTCTTTTCACTCGAATAATAAACTTTAACAGCAATGACTGATTCGCCCAGATTAGAATATAATTCCTACCTAGTATGGTGTTTATATCAGCAACTTGATTAGTATGGGCCAAATAATATATCCACTCTTTCACGAGAGCGCTCGGAATCTGTCCACCGCGATTTACCTAGTTTGTTCACGAATTCCCGTGTGAAGTTGTACAGATCTTCCATAGTTGCTGACTTACCCAAAGTGACCCGTACTTCCTGTAGAAGAACCACGTCAACAACACCCTTGCTTAGCGCTTCCAAAAGTGACAAAACCATGCTGCTCAGCATTCCAGATGCTCGAAAGATTTCGCTACAGTTCGTGAATATAGAACGATGGTGTTTTCGCGGGAAATCCATGAAGTATTCAAGTCGAAGACGATATCAGGAATTGCCTGCGACGTCGTCGAAGACTTTCCGTTGGGGAATTCTGCTGCTTGAAACTGAGCTGGAGAAATCTTAGTACCGTCGGTCGTACGCAATCGCTCGGTGAGATTGGAAATGGGTGGATGTTGACTGCACTCCGTGCCGGGACATCCTCTAGAGCCTACGATATGCCTTCAGCAATGGGGTTCCAGAAATTGACCATTTAGGGTAATGTGATCAAGTGCCGGTTGCCCCTTGGCCGATTTGCAAAGCATGTTAAATGCTGCCGCGCACACCTATATGAATAGGTGGCGTGGAGCAGCTTTTTCCTGCGGTATTACTAAGTTCTTCCCATTTCAACAATTGCTAACTGGAGAAGTACTACATACAAGACATTGGGGACACCCTCATGTTTTTAGTCCGCCAGCGGTTCTACAACAGTCGTACACAGCAAATTTAATTAGCCGTCTCCAGAGCACGATAGATTCGGTCGGTTTCCAGAATTTGTCTTCCAGCAATTACGGCCCATCCCGAGCATAAATCTCGAATTTCTTATCTGCTTGTGCGGCGTTCTGACCATTCACAGCCATTTGATAAATCGCTATACCTGGCATGTCCAAAAGCACACAGGGTTTCTCCCGATGTCAAAGCGATGTAAATAATGGTGTAAGGCATCCCGCGGACTAAAAAGAGCTTCCATCAATGATAAAACCACGAGATAAAATTTGTTTTATAAACAACAGAAACATTCGCAAAAATTTAAATGTATTAAATTAAATGCAAATAAATGGTTGTTTGTTAAAAACAAATTAAGATTTCGAAAAGAAAACCCCCCTAAAAAACGTAAAAAATTCTATTAAAATAGATTATTTGAAAACAACCATTTAGGAATTTTTATGGGTAAAAAGAATAGAATAAATAATTACGGAAAAAACAGAGATTTTACAAATAAATACCCGTTTTTTCCTGTTTTTACTTCAATAAGTATTGTAAATCAAATGGTTTTTTTTGTCAAATTTGAAAATTAATCAAATTCAAGTTATAAAAATAAAATTTTATTTGAATACTTTGTAATAAAAAAAATTAAAATTAGATTTATTATATTTTTAATTTTTTGTTATTTACCAGAAAAATTAATTAGTTTTATTCTTTTAAAAACATTTTTGATGTTTAGTAAATTAGTTACATCATTTTAATATCTAATAAATAATCTTTTTTTTTGCTCAAAAAGATAATAATTTTGCTTAGAGATCATGTTTCGGGAAATATCGATATTTTTATCGATAAAAAACCTTTTTAAAATTTAAAATTAATCAATTATAAATGATTACTAATATTGAAGCAATAGGTCAAGTTTTATGCAGGTATTTTTTTTAGTGCCGTTGATCGTGTTCCAACGAACACGGTCTTGTACATGCGACTCTCTGCATTGGACCAACTGGTATCATAGCCGGTAGTGCAGCCCCTGCTGTAAGCTCATTGACTCATTTCCAAATCGACCCATTTCTAGATCGCAGCTGTGTTAGCAAAAAGTTGTTCCGTGTTGTCCGGCACAGCTGCAGCTGCTAAAGCAGCAGACGTGATATGTGGCCACCTTGTGAACTTTCGTTGCGCTTTAGGTCTTATCTTAAGTTTATTGAGTGCGAATATTGGCCAACGCAGACCATATCGCTACCTGTTTATACTGATTCCCCCGTATGTTGACTAAACGTGTCGTCAGAACGTAGATAGCCCTGTCTGAGTCAGTTATAATTAATGATGAAGTTTTGAGCTCTTTTTCGGTGGCCTTATCTGATTCCAATGGAATGGGAACACTATCGGAGCAGGGTGCGGATTTACAGCTCCTGTAGACAAATCATCCATGCACATGGTGTAACCAAACGTATTCGTACTATCTGCCATGGTAGCGTCGATATTTTTTTTGGGTAATGACCGTCCGCATCCTGGGTATACGTCGGTGGCACGTCCGATGCGCCTAAAGTTAGGGCACCCTCCATAGGCATTGCAACCGAATCCGCTCCCTTTTCCATTCTGCTAGCTCAGCAGATATTTCGCTGTACAGAGGCGCATCTTAAGGTAACTTATTTTCTCTCACGTGCTTCAGTTTCGGTGCATTATTGCCAATCACATGCAATTTTTTTTTGGTTTCATTGCCTTCGTTGCATCCGAAATCATTGAGTTTGCCTTCGGGCCTGCAGAACGGTATTTAGACTTTATCCTCACCGTATTTCGTTTGCTTCATCTCGAAAAGTAGGATTTCTAATAGCCATCCCACGTGCACTAGCATGAGACTAATATAGTAATCTTTCATGGCTTTAGCTGAATATCTTTTTTCAGCGGCTGTCGAAGTATGTACCTCGACCGCTCGTTGTGCATCTACCACCGCAAAGCGCCGTCCCTTAAGATGACGTATCGAAATTGAGGAAACGGCCCTTGATTTCGTAGTTGGAACTGCCGCGACTAATTGGTGATCAGATCCGAGCATTTGGTCGAATCTATGAACAGCCTGCGCGCGCTGTTTGTTTGCCTTGGAAAAAGCGAAGGGTGTTGTTCTAAAGTGGGCAGCATCATTTTTACATTTCGATTGCACCGTTGACTGATTCGATTGAGGTGATTTCTTGATGTCTTTGTCAATGTTCGGTAAGATTGTCTTGACGAGAGGAGCTGGCTATGGTAAAATCGCTTTGCTAGGTCCGTTAGAATTATTCAACGGAACATGTCATGGAGGTGCTACTACCAGTCCAGCAGGTGAAATTGACAGTCTCACGTTGGCCACGAGTCCTGATTTTTTTTTGCACCAGGATCAAATTACACGTTTGCAGACAGGACAGTGAAACGGATAGCACCGCTACGCGCTACGGGGACGCCAGCGAAAGGACGCAGTGGTCACACCCAATTGCTTATTACATGACACCTTTGTCAACAGTGGGGCTTTGTCTCCGTCCGCCTTCAGCTTCGCCGTAGTTGCCTTTTGAATATCTGTCAATCCAGAGATATTCTGCAGGCGTTCTGCCACGTCGAAGTGGTTTAAAGTCAACGTAATGGCGTGTTGAGGTGCAATAGGCTTTTCAGTGAACTCGCGGTGATGCTCTACTCTGAAGGTGCCTTTGCGCACTCCGCAAATGAAAATTGAGTCATTAAGGGAGTAGCAAGTAAAACAGGAGACGCGTTGAAAGTACCGAAAGTGGTGGGAAAGGTCGCCATTCCGTAATTGTAAATGTGCGTTACCAACTTGAGCTGTTTGGACAGGACATCAAGTCAAAAGTCGCGACGAATAAGTTGAAATCGTGCGACCCCGATCCGTTTGAGCACCTAGGCTTCATGGATGTCACCGCACAGGCCACAAAAAACGCCAAAATGCCTGAACCGTGCTACCCGCTAATCCATCGACGAGAATTAGCACTTAATAGTGTAATAGATTTTGGCCGTTTGATAGAGCAGTTACCGAGGTAGCGGTAATGTCTCTACGCTCCATTGTAGCAGGACACAAAAGCCGAAATCTCCTACCGCAAAACAATATTGAATTTGCATGCCAGATTGCAACAGCCGCTTCTCCGGCCTGATAAAATTTAGACGTCTCCTATCGGCGTCGTAACTGGTTTGCTTGGTACCCTCGACGATTTCCCGACTCAATACATGGGGTTTCGTGTCTCCTGCACTGCGCACAAGAGCTGAAAATCAATGTTTGTCCAAGCGATGTACCGAGGCATGCGTAACTAAGGAGGTACAAGCGCAATTACCTTCCCTTTAAAACGCTCCAAAAAAGCAAGCATCAAAATTCTCGTAGCTCGTGGGTGCGTACAAATTATAACCCTGGCGTTGACGGGAGCGTGATGCCCCAATCATCCATGCCGCAAGTGATTTCTTCTCAGGCGGAATCGTCGGACGCAGATCGTCGTCCGCTTTCTCCATCCTAGCCTGGTGGATGTAAGCATAAGGACCGCTGTCGTTCCTGAGGTTTACTTGACACCGCAGCACCGAAATGATGTTGTTCGCGTTAGCAGGCATTATCCTCCGGACTCGAGTTGGTGCTAACGCAAATATTTTGTTGGAAACTGGATGCAAGTCAACGGTGGACAATGAAGTAAAGGGTGGCGGTTGACAATACCTTTTCCAGGGAAGGTTTTATCTGGAAGGTATTTCGTAGAAGATTCCTCCTGACATGAAGACATGCATTGAGTAGACTCAGTCCAAAAGTTTCCCTCCAGTAAACAAGTTGTTTGTGAGTGCGTAGCCATTGTTTCCCTTTATCAATACTCTATTAGGGTTATGAGCCCAAAGACGACCTGCTATTAAGAGAAGCGCTAAACAAGACTACACTACAACAACTATACCATGTATTCCTCATCGGACTCTGAGGACGGCAAGAGAAAAAGACACAAGGAGATTAAGTTGAGATCGCAAGGCACTCCAGTAAATTGGAATGGAGAAGACTGGACCTTCTACAAGCACGCGATGCTCAACGCATTCGAGCAAAACCTACTCGATGAGATCGCAGCAGGAGGCGTTGTGGAGGACGCATCCTGGAATCAAGCCAAGAAGGACAAGTTCAAGAAAAGTCAAGCCGAGGTGAAGATTCTTATTCAAGGCTCGTTGTCGATGAAGCTGGCCAAGCAGGTGATGTCGAAGAAGACAGGAACCGAGATGTGGCACGAGCTCTGCTCAATTTTTGAAGGGAAGCAAAACTCAGCCATGATAGCGCAGAAAGTGTACCGCCTCCAAAGCGAGCTACACAGGACCCATTTGCGTCCAAATGGTGACGTGAGAAGTCATTTGTACACTTTGTTCGACATCAAAGACCAGCTCGAGGACTTGAATTCTCCTGTAAATGATTTACAGATGGTGGACATGATGCTGCGCAGTCTCCCGACGCAGATGTGCTATAATGAACTCAGAAGAAAGGTATTATTTAGCTCAAATATGAGTAAATATACGCCTGAGATAGTTCGCGAGATGATATTCACCGCCGAGTCGCGCAGTAAAGACTGGGAAAGCTATGCATTCGGGAGCGCTCAAGGCAAGAAGAAGCCAAATGGTCCAACTACTGGAACGAGAGGTGGCATGAGGCAAACCTTGAGAGACAATAAGACGAGAAAAATCAAGAATCATGATTTTGAGTGTCATCATTGTGGAGGTAAAGGCCATTACAAGAGAAATTGTCCACAATTGATGAATGAAGAGAAGTCGCGTGGAAGAAAAAGTGCTCACGCAAAGTACGCCAACTCTGGTAGCAAGACGAAAATGGAAGAGAAGGGCGAGCCTTTATTGCAACGCAAGGTGCAAGTAGATAAGCGTGACGTGGTGATAGGAGAAGCTACAAAGTTGACGTCAAAGGATTCAACTTCTAGCAACTGGTATTTCGACACGGGTACAAATGCCCACATAGTGTCCTCCAAGGAATACTTTACTGTACTACAGAGTATGGAAGACAGTGACTGGAATCCAATGATATCCGGATTCACACTCAATGGAGCGAAAGCAAAAGCTGAAGGATTTGGTACGATTATTCTTGCAACAGTTGTTGATGAAGAATTGGTAACAGTGTTCGTGGAAGACGTTCTCTACGTCCCTCAAGCTGGATGCAATTTGTTTTCGCCTGGTTTGGCTATGGACCAAGGATTCAGCATGTCATGGGACCCGAATGCTAAGATATTTACTATGACTAAAGACGATATCGAGGTGATACGGACACATCGGAAGCACCGCCTATGGACGTTTACTGCTCAAAATGCAAATAATACTGCACAGCACAAGAAAAACATTACCACGAAGCGACAAGTTATTGCTAACTTTGCAGTGACTGATGGTGTGGAAGATATCGATGTCTGGCATGAACGACTGGCACACACGTGTCCAGAATATATCCGGTTGATGGTTGATCGTGGCCTGGCAAAAGGTATCATGCTAAAGAGACGTGGGAAATTCGATTGTGTAGACTGTCATGTTGGTAAACAGCGGCGAAAGTCATTTCGAAAGGCGTTAAATAGAAATATCGCGAACGTTAATGACATTGTTTTTGCCGATTTGCTGATACCAGGAATAGGCAATGGATCCCCATACACCGCCGTCCTAGTCGTTATGGATGGATACTCACGTTACGTCAGTGTCTTCATGCTCAAGTCTAAGTCTGAGAATGAAGTCAACAAATTCATGCAGGAATATATTGCTTGGGCTGAACGACAAGTTGGCAAGAGGGTTGAGGCTGTGATTACTCATCAGTTGAGTGAAGATTCGCAACGAAGCCAAGGAGCTCTCGTGAGACAAGTCCTTACAGACAAAGGGCAGGAATTTTGCAATGGTACAATGGCACAGTGATATCAAGAAAGGGGCATAGTGCATACAAGAGTCGGCCCCAAAGCGTCCCAACTAAATTTAGTTGAGCGCACACACCAGACATTGATTGGAATGGTGAAGACCATGATGCACCAGTATGGATTACCTAAATCATTTTGGGTGCATGCATTAGTAACAGCTGCCTACATCAAAAACAGAGTGTATTGCAAAGGGGCAGGACGCACTCCGTATGAGTTGATGTTTGGTTCGAGACCGGACGTTCATCACATCCGGGCGTTTGGGTCACTCACTTATTGTCACACGCCAAGAGAGAAACGGAAAAAGCTGAGCATGAATTGCCGAGTGGGATTCCTCATTGGATATCACGAGAACATTGTTGGTTGTCATGTGTACTTCCCAACAGAGCACATGAAAGGATATGTGTCAGATGTCAAGATAAATGAGGCTATAAAGTATAAGGATCGTTTCGACAGTGGATATACATCAAAAGTCAGACGGTGGCTCCAGACACTAAGTGAATACGCTGAGGAGGGCGCATTTAATGATTCTAGTTCTGAAGAATCCGAGGTGTCACATCTGACTGACATTGTAGCAAGCATGGATTGTAATAGCAGTACCATTCAGATGGAGACTGCTGAATCCGATATCGACACTCTAAATGAGGCAGACCAAACCTTGTGGAATGACATGCTACGCAATAGTATTTTACCAGAAGTGGTCCAGACACAAGGACAAACCAGCGAACAATATTTCAGTGCGAGCAGTAGCGACAAAGAAGAAGGTCAGGAGAGCGAATCTGGTGAAACGCAGGGGGGAGAGCTAGAACCCAGTGACAGCGTTTCTCACGAACTATCTGAACATGCTACGCCGGGGGAAGAGTTAGCACCCAGTGACAGCATTTCTCAAGAATTTTCAGAAGATGCATCGGATCCTCCAGCTGATTCTACAGCACATTATTGCGCCGAATATTGTGACTCTGTTCCAGATAGCAACAAAGCAGTTGCAAATGACTCGGATATTTATGACGACGATAAAGACGATGCGGAATCCGGACTTGAGTCGCACAATGACGAGGAAACAGCTGACGATGATAACGCTGATGATGATACAGACGCAGATGATGATACAGCTTCAGGTGAAGAGAGACTGCTCACTGATACTGGACATATAACAGACCCTGAAGTGACTCGAAATGAATCTGTCTATGCTGCAAGTGACTACAATTATGATTGTTTATTCGATCCTTTATTCGATCCAAGTGACATGTTGGAGGCTGTGAACGGCACCACGACGTTGACCATTGCCAATGATCAGCTGATCGGCCACAGAAGACCCAGAGATGTCGAAGTCAGGCGAAGTAGAGAGCACAAAAGAATAAAAGAGGATCACAAAAGAGCAAAGATCACTCCGCGTCTACCCATATTGAGAAAGAATGATCAGCAATGTATGGGGAAGTAGAGAGCACAAAAGAATAAAAGAGGATCACAAAAGAGCAAAGATCACTCCGCGTCTACCCATATTGAGAAAGAATGATCAGCAATGTATACTGAACCAGCGCGAAGATTTCACGGTTAACGCTGCATTCAGAACACCAAAGAACGTTGAAAGCGAAGCGTACGGTACTCGCGCAAGTGATATTCGGACACCAAAGAACTTTCGTCAGGCGATGTGCTCGAAATATGCAACCCAGTGGAAAGCAGCTATGGACGAAGAATTGGAAGCAATGAAGTCCAAGGGAGTGATCACATTAATTTTGAAACGAGAGATGCCTGAAGACACTAAAGCGATCAAGACAATGTGGGTCTATAGTGTTAAAACGGACCACTTAGGCAACGTTATCCGTCTTCGAGCAAGAATTGTGGCTCGAGGTGACAAACAACGCCCAGGAATTGACTATGGAGAAACCTTCAGTCCTGTAGCACGTATGGCGACTTTCAGGATGTTCGTGGCCATTTTCCTATTGATGGACTTGACCATTTACCAGGGTGATATCAACACGGCCTACCTGAATGCACCCTTGGGGATCAAGCAGTACTTGGACTCTCTAGATGGATATCCTTCTGAAACTGACGACATGGTATATGTTGTTCACAAGGCACTGTATGGTCTTAAACAGTCTGGTCGAGAGTGGAACACCGAAGTAAATGCGTGGTTTTTACGGTATGGGTTTAAGCGTTGCACTACAGAACCGTGTCTGTATTACTACGATTCAGGTTCTAAGTTCGTATTGGCACTACTCTACGTGGATGACATTCTGTGTGCAACCAAGAATGAATTGTTCAAGACGAAAATGTTTCGGAGTCTGGACGAGGTCTATGGAATGAAGGATTAAGGTCTACTTAGCACTTATTTGGGTGTTCAAGTAGAGAGAAGCGATGATGCGATTAAAATTCATCAGACGAAATACTGCGAAGACGTTATCACTCGTTTTAACTTTGGAGATGCGCACGCTAGCAGAATTCCGATGGAAACAAACATACGACTTGCTGTAAACGATACGGATACCGCGAGGGCCAAACGCATACCTGACAATGACAAAGAATTTCCATATCGTGAGCTAATTGGCTCATTGATGTATCTGGCAACATGTACGAGGCCAGATCTTGCGTATGTGGTCGGGCAGCTTAGTAGATACGTGCAAAGCCCAACACAACAACACATTGGCGCAGCCAAGAGAGTGTTAAGGTATCTGGTGGGTTCCAAGACTCATGGAATTGTGTTCCACGCAAACAATGATGGAAAATTAAGAAGTGATTTAACCGTTGAGGGATTTTGCGATGCGGACTGGGGAAACGACCCAGACACGAGGAAAAGCATTACTGGATATGTACATTGCTTGGCAGGAGGTGCGATATCGTGGGCGTCACGACGGCAGAGTATCGTGGCTCAATCTACTGCTGAGGCCGAATATGTAGCAGCTTGCGAGGCCTGTATGGAAGGGAGGGGTCTCATTCAGGTTCTAATCGAGATATTCCCAAGGTTGGTGTCGAAGTTTCGTCTCGGGATTGACAATAAAGCTGCCTTTGTGATGGCTACAAACCCGACCTACAGTCGCAGAACACGACACATTGAACTACGCTGGCACTACGTTCGAGATCAGTATGTGAAGAAAGCAGTAAAACTGTGGAAGGTAAAGACAGACGTGAATCCCTCAGACTTGATGACCAAGCCCCTGGCAAGTGCGCGTTTTGAGGCACTTATCACCATGATAGGGATGACCAAGAACGTTTTGCCGCAGTAACTACTGACGGAGGAGGGCGTGTTGGAAACTGGATGCAAGTCAACGGTGGACAATGAAGTAAAGGGTGGCGGTTGACAATACCTTTTCCAGGGAAGGTTTTATCTGGAAGGTATTTCGTAGAAGATTCCTCCTGACATGAAGACATGCATTGAGTAGACTCAGTCCAAAAGTTTCCCTCCAGTAAACAAGTTGTTTGTGAGTGCGTAGCCATTGTTTCCCTTTATCAATACTCTATTATATTTCTCCGGGCTGGGTACGTTCAAGTTGTCGGCGTCAGGTCGGCGAAACTCGTCGACACCTTTACAGCGAAATTCGTCGACATGATCTCGGCAAACTTTGTCGCAATAAGTCTGACAAAATTTGTCGAAACCAGATCGGCTCGAGTCTCCGGGTCAAAGGTTTCGTCGGTGCTTTTGACCGCAACCGCGTACTAAATTCGCCCATATTTTGTTTGAAGTACGAGGTCCGGCCCGACTGTTCCGTGGCCGTACCCAACAACTCCAGTCCATACGGGTGGAATGTTACCTATCCCAGGAGTCCATTCCTCGCTCTTTGGGGGTACCCGGCATGTGATCCCGCTGCACGTTGGCGCTGCACTTCTCTGTCAATGAGAAATTATCGCTGTGCATTTCGATGCCGTCGGTAGTGAAGTTATGTTGTAGTCACCCTTCCACGTGCCAAAATGTATCGTCTGCGCACTAGCTGGCAAACTTGAAATCTGAAGGACCTTTGTTAGCTAGCTATTGTGTTGACGCCGTGATCGGTAGGCGGAAATTTAAGCAGAGCACCAAATTAGGAGAATTATAGTGAGCAAGTCACCGAAGGGCAAGTAGGCGTCGTACGCTAACAGGATAGTTCTATTTGAGGTGTCCATTATGTAACAACATCAACCCTGTCAAAACGGTAACGAACGACGATACCACTACAGCTTTACACATACGTTAGGTGGTATTTTTTGCACGAAAGTCATCATGAGCTAGCAGTCTGGATTTCCAGATCCACCCGCAGGCTTGACACATTAAGTACCTAGCTAAACGATAACTAATCACGATGATTGCCAAATGCATTCGTGACAGAGAAAGTCCAGCGAGAGTTTGTCTCTACAGATTTCATCTGGTAGATGATTGGCTAAAGTGACTACGCGATGGACGCATTTAGCAGATACATAGATGTAGGTACCTCTTCGACTATACTAAACAGACGGAAAAATCGATACTGAAGCTCAATCTTATCGTCGATTTTTTTGTCGAGGGCTGCCTTGGCTCCCGGGTGATGCAATAGTTAATGCATGATTTAAGTAATAAGCGCCCCAGAAGTATATTGGTATAAGCTAGTGGTGCATCGATATGGTCAGCTTAAAGCGAATGTATGTACATTGCAAATTTATATGCAACCCTTAAATTTTTTAATGGACGCCTTGTTACTTGTGCGTCGATTACGGATAAAGTAGCCGACCGCATGCCACCAGACACAGACATACTATTTGATGACAACCAATTTCTGGCTAACGTGAACAACCTTCACTCATGATCAGTAAAAAAGTTTGATGCGTCTCAAGACAGATCACTCAAAATAAACTCAATTTTTAGTGAGGGTATGATCAGCTCTCCAGAACAGACCTATGAAACGTACGTAGATCTTTTTGCCTCCGTGAGTGGCTTTTACTGGCACTTAAGGGTACACCGTTGCAGTCGCAAGACCTATTGAAGGCTGCAAGTGTTACTTGTGAAAGTGTGAACGTAACGAAACACCACGCCGAGTGTTAAAAGGAGTACAAGCGTAAACTGTACACAAAGAAGTGCTACTGTAAGTTCCATCAACACGCTCGGGTCGATAGAAATTATTGGCACTTAAAAAATTACTGGTGAGCTCAATCAATCACCTACTCTCGACATAGCAAATTATGGACCTCATGACGTCTAAAAATTATAAACGCTTGGTGTAAAACTAAACATCAAGGTAAGGTGTCCCTGAGAGAGAGACTATGCCCGCATTAAGGCTCCAAATTTTTCCACAGTCTCGACTGCTTTACCTCTCCTTTTTTCATTGTTCGTCGGTTTTTTTGTCTGTATATACCAATTTGTCTCCTCACCAGCAGCATCCGGCATAAGACGAGAAATATCAGTACTTCTGATTGTTAAATGTTTCGCGTCTGCATGCCATGTAATTGGCGAAAAGACTATCGTCTGATGCGCAAGCGTTGACGAATAATTTGTTTTAGTAAGGATTGTACATTTACCAAAAAATATTATTAGTTTAAAGAGACGCCCATTATGAATTTTGGGGGCGTGCGTTCAACAATTCTCTATGTATCTCCATGTATAGATTAATATTTATACGTCCTTTTTAATATGCAAATATGTATGTGTATATCTCTCGAGAATTGGATCAATGACACCCCTATTTTCTTAAATTTACACCCTTTGTAAAACCTGGCTGTTCCTCCTTCCTGCAAACTTCCATATTCGCACACTTTTGTTGAACTGGTTATTGCATCCCTTGTCCTTGTGCTCTATCTCTACGTTTAACGACCGGAAAATGTTATATCACATTCCGTACCTTCATTACAAACCCTTATTCGACATTATATACGCTTGACAGGAGTGCACCATCGAGGGCCACGTGAGATGGATCTTGTAAGTTTAGCTGCTATACAATAGAGGGGACTAGACAGGAGCTGTGTGCACTAAGCCGTCTAACAATGGATCTGATGATCACGAGCAGGTGAAAAGACGTCATGATCAAGATCAACACTATACAGTATTATTCGTACATACCATATACACTAATTCTACATTACCTACTACATACAATCCTGCTACATTTGGTAGCTTCTGTAATGTAGAAAAATAATAACTCTAAACCACAACTGTAATAAAAATCCCTTCGACCTTCTGCGATGTCGGTCGGGTTCTCCCCCAAACCGCCCATAGGTAGTCAGGGCTAATATATATGCACACATATATGTATACTTATAGAAAATTTTCATACATATAGATACATGCACATACATTTAAAAATTATCGAAAGCCACACTTTTGGATGGACAAGGTAGCTGTGTAGTCATTGTGCTCAGCTTAGACAACTCTCTTGTTGGGCCGCGGAACTAAAGCATGACAAGTACCTCTTATTACAACATGTTGAATGATGCAGAAAGGTGTAGGTGTGCTCTCAAAGTCACACAAAACGTATTGAGTATATATTTATGCTTGCGCGTTATTTGTGGGTGAGAGTATGCACTATCAAAAGTAAAATCATTTTGTAAGATGCAACGCCTCAATGGTACTCGTCGATCTCTCATCTGTTTTGGATTATCATTTCGATCTCGAAGTGGCCTGCCAACAAAGCAGCAGAATTAATCTGCTCAACCGGAACCAAAAAAAGTGCTGTTTTATTGATGTCCTACATGTCAAATGGCTGGATGGAAGATATTGCCATGAGTACATTTAGCTCCCTCTATAACATCCCTGTTTATCCACCTTTAATTAGGATAAGTAGAGGGAGGATGTGATCTCAAGAGTGTCACTGACTGTATAAATGTTGATACATCTATTATTATTTGCATGATGAGCAAAAAAGCCGATATACAACTATAACAAAAGAAAATAGATATCAGGGTGCAAGTATCGAATACAACAGGAATCGTTTAAATTCACAGGAATATGGGCGGATAAATATATATCAATTTCCTGCATATCATTATATATGTGTATACCAAAAAATAGCAGGGAGAGATTCCCGCCACACCAACGATGAGATACGAAAAATGATACGCATTGGTAGTTACACATTTAACAAAACAAATAGATAATTAGCCCGATATCAGAAAGGCGTGGTTCTCGTAAGAATAAAGATTGGTCAAGGGTGGAAGGACTACCAAAAGCCTAATCTTGTAGTTTTTATAGCCTGATTATTCGATCTTTAAAATTTTTACGACATTGGTATTTCTGCATACCTATATATGTGTACCACGGGCTTATCAAAGTACACATTGATGGCCCATGATAATAGGAAGTGTCAGCTTTTAAATGCCGAAACTGAGGAGTCTGAAAGAAATTCGTAGTAAATCGTACAAGTTACTGAATCCGCTA